AGGAGTGGTTTGAAGCTTTGCTGAGGACAAACTACTATCAGAGAACGTACATATATTCTTTGCTACTATGTAAATCAGAATAGCACTACATATAAAATTTATGGCAAATATGTACAAGAACATAAATGAAAACAAATATTTCTTACTTGATAGCCTTGATACCTTCTACCTTGACTGAAAAATTGGTCCAGAAGCGGTTAGATAATAGCACATATGTTAAAAGTAAGCTTTGAATTGCTGACTTTAACTGCGCGAGAAGATTTGCTTATAAGAGAGTATAAGTATACCTTGAAAAAGTATTCCGCGACCAAAGAAAAGAAATTAGCAATTGAAAAAACTGCCAGATGAACTGCCAATACAAATCATACGGATGGAGATACACATCCATAGTTCGGAAACTGTCTAACAAAAAAACAAAAAAAAGTAGAAAAATTATCGAAATTACTGACTGATGTTTGTGAAACTATTGCTTTTTGCGACCTTTGGCCCGAAAGTCAGTTTAATTAAACAAATTCAAATTTGTTCTCTTCGAATATGATATTAGAGGCCACTTAGATTTAAAAAATGAAGCATTGCACCAGAAACTACATGGTCATTACCAGAAACGATTTTCATTATATCTTCGAACATGAGCTGATAATCTGCTCCTAAGCACGGTTCCAGCGCCATTTTTATATTTTAGTTGCTAATTTTAACAACAATTCCCATTTTTAAACCAGGAACTACTCTATGTTCGGCTTTTCTAATGAATCTTCAATTACAATAACGTCGTCTCCTTGTAACCGAAATAACTCAGGTTTATTCGGCCAAGAGGCACCAACTCGTTAACATTCTACAAAACTAGTTGAGGAATTTTTTTTTGTTTTTTCTGTAAAACTAAAAATAACAAAGAATCCACCAAGGCTGGTTGATTGTGACTGAATCCCAAGACAGGTTAGCTATAGTTTGAAGTTGACAATAGTCGTCTTCGATTTGTCAGTCGCTATGCTCGAATCCTGTTGTTTTATAATAATAATAAAACAAAAAAGATTTATAATTGGATTCAATACAATATGTAGAGTTTTTGAGTACCTTATTAAAGTGGTACAAGCCTTTGCTTTGATATCACTAAAGGTTTATATCAGTCGATGTGATCCATACCAGTGGTTTTTTCGATTCGCCACTCTCCACATTTCAGATAATCGAAAATAGCTAGTATCTGAAAAACTTTATTGACATTTCCACATTCTGTTTAGATACAGAAGATGCATTTTTGAGTAAATAGTTTTTAAGAAATATTCGGAATATTAATTAGAAGACACTCAACTACAAAACTACGTCACTAGGAAAGCTCGAAAACTTATTTCTTTTAATGAGACCTTAAATCAAAACTTTAAACTATAGGAATTAATGTCAATAATTAATGAGCAAATTTGTGAAAAAGAAATGTTTACATATGTATATATTGACTATATACTACATACGGACATATGTACTTATTTATATAGAAACATAAAAATATGTATTTTTGTAAGCATGTGGTTACAATAGCTGAATTGTGCATTGTCAATTGTGCGCCACATACAATTTTTAATTAAACAGAATGCTATGATTACTAAACAACAACAACAATGACAATATAAACGGCATACCAACAACAACACGCACAAAAGTAATCACATGCGTGCGTAGAAAAAAGTAATTTTTTCTTCCTTCTTGTTTTTTCTATTCAGCCGCATCAATTGGGGTTGATTTTTAAGGTTGATGGTTATGCTGATGTTACTGACGACAACGATGATGGTAATGTTTTCGCGGCTGCTGGTGCCTGTGCTGTCTGTTTGTTGCATAACCGGTGGCGTGATTGGTATTGGGAATTGGTTGGTTGCCGTTTGCCGTTTGGTTGTTTAGTGTTGTTGATGATGCTGTGTGTAAATGTTTATGGAAATGGTGTTGGTAGCGTTTTGTATTTTTTGTTGTTGGATTTTTTACAATAATGAAAAAGATGATGAGCGATTTGAAGGCAATGCATGGGGGGTTAAAGGATGTGACGTTGGTGACATCAGCCGTTTTAGCAACATTTTAATAAAAAAAAAATAATGGAGAGGAAAACTTACTTTTGTGTAATTGTAAATGTTGAAAGAAGTGTGAGAATTAAGCGAAATTGGGGGATTGTCCTTTGATTAAAAAATATGCTTATAGATGAAGCTTTTAGAGGGCTGAATTAATATTTATGAGAGGTTGTAATTATTAAAGGATATAATGTACATATAGTATATGTTTGCCCCAATATACATACATATATTCCAGTTATGAGTAGTCTTATTAAAATTAACAACTTCTTTCTTTCCTCCCTTTTTAATTTAACTCTTTACAGTTTTAATGAGTTTTGCGTTTCTAAACACACATAAATGATAATTGTGTATGAATTTTCAAGTATTTCTCAATCCTCAAAAATATTGGCTTCAATTCTAGGATGCAACTTGTTTTTTCTCTCTTCAAACTTTTAAAGGAAATAATACTTAAAAAGGTACTCGTCTCTATAATAAACTTATAAATTCCACTTGAGAGAATATCGCAGAATAAGCTTATGTAAGCGTGAATTAAAATTCAGTAAAATCTTTCCTTTTTTGAATATTTACAATGAAAAAATCAAATCATTTTACTACAAAATAAAAAATATCGGGTTTTCCAATAGGGATGATATGATTTCTAAGTTTCGTTTTGCTCATTTTAAATATGTCATGGTATGTCATTTTTTTCCATTGTATTCATCAATGTTTACAATTTCATCATTGATAGATATACGATAGAAGAAAGAACTAATTTTGTCTTGAACCAACTTAAAACGATAGCGATCTTTTTAAGCAAATCATCTTCTCCGATGAGGCTCACTTACATTTGAGTGTTGTGGCAAATAAACAAAACTGTCTATTCTTTTGTGAATAAAATCCACAAATAATTCATGAACAAGCATTACATTCACCTAAATTGATAGTTTGGTGTGGTTTTTGGTCTGGGGCAATCATCGGCCAGTACTTCTGGTGAAACCGTTACTGTCAATGGAGAGCGGTGTAGATCGGTGATAACCAACTTTTTATGGCCACAATTGAAAGAAGTTGATGTTGACAACAGCTAGTTCCAACAAGATGGGGCTTCGTGCCACACAGCACCTGCAACAACCGAATTATTGCGAGAAAAGTTTGGAGATGTTGAATGGCCTCCAAGAAGTTGCAATTCAACACCATTACACTACTTCTTGTGGGGTTATTTGAATTTATTGGACTTTAGCAATAAACCAGATTCTCTTCAAGCTTTAGAAGTCAATATTCAACGTGCTATTTATCACAAACGACTTGATTTAGTGGAATAAGTACTCGAAAATAAGGTTCATCGAATTCGGTTATAATTAATAATTGAAGCTGTTGCAAAACAATTCAACATTAATTTTTCTAAAAAAACCGAATAGATTACAATCGAATTTGGTATCTTATAACTTATGTATCTTATAAGTAGACTTAGTTACTTTTATTACACTTTGTTTTATCGAAATATTAATATTAAGATCAAGCTAATTATTTTAATTTGTTATATAAGCTCCATCAAAGCAAAATTTAATAAAAGGGGCCTATGAGGAACACATCAAGATGGGAAATCGAAATTTCATCATGCACTAATGAAATTGATCATTTGTAGTATATGAGAACTAGTGTAATTCGTGAATAGATAACACACATGTTCGACGTTAAACTATAGTATATCCAATATTTTACTTTCAGTTTGAAATTCGTATATAATTCCTATTAATTTTCTTATGTAATGTAATTGGTGAAAGGGAATATTTTGACCCGATTTTATCCAGTTTTGGTTTTATGACACATCATTACCAGAAATATACGCTCTATGAATTTCATTCAGAAACCTCATAGATTGACCCATATATGTACAAGGTATAATATCAAGTGGAAGTTTGAAAATCCGTATATTTGCTATATATGGTGACTAGGATAAGTATTGATCTGATTTCATACATCTTAGGCAAGAGTATAGACTGTTATTAGAATGAAATTCTTTCTCAATTTCAGTAAGATTTCGTACATGCGGATCGATAGATGCGGTAGAAAGTTGACCGGAAGTTCGAAAATATAAATGTTATATTCTGATAACTCTATTGATATTTGATTTCTATACTGTAAAGTGAGAGAATCAGATGCAATTTAAAAGCTTGTTATATAAAAAGTAGGCATGATTGTCATCCGATTTCGCCCATTGTACTCAAACTTTGCTTGCATGGACAGCACCCGGATTTACACTCTTCTCATCATCCTGATCACTTATACATATATTTATAACTTTTAGGTGAAGCTAACAACCGTTAGATGAACAAGATTATTATACTCTGTAGCAACATGTTTCGAGAGTATAACTAGGAAATCAAGCGTATTTTTCATGAAAATAGAAAAGTATTGATTTATTATTCCAAATAAATGGGTTTAAAATAATCTTTAATCATTTCGACACTTTGTATGAAAATTTATAATTTACCTTGGCAGGTATTTCTGGAAAATTATGGATTATTTCTCTATAACACATACTTTCAGTCAAGAGATATACTATAGAAAGCTTAACTTGTATGATATCCCAGTACGTTAATTGAGGATACGTTTATACTACTATTTAGGGATTCACAAAATTAATATCTTAACACTATTAATATTGTCTGATGGTTTCAGAAAATTACTCGTCACTAGATTTCATTAATAACTCTCAAAAATCCCACTCTACTATTTTACAGTTTTTGTTTTTTTACTGAAATAAAACAGTTTCGGTAATAATCAAGTTCCACTTTACATATAAATTTAAAAATATATTTCATTTATATACTCGCTAATCATAAAACAGTGTTAATTGATGGGGAGAACGACAGCGTGTCAGCCAAATGCAATTATTAAATTAGAATACAACAAATTTAGGGATGGCTGAAAAACAATACATCCAATATACCTCAAAACTTTATGTGAAAAATGCGTAATTCCACTATAAAGTAATTAAAAAATCATTAGGTGCGTGAAAATTTTCAACTAATGAGATTTTTGCGACAGCATGCGAAAAGTCATTTGTAAATTGGCAATCGACACAGGCACAAGCAGTGCGTGGCATAAATAAATTATTATATTTTTTTCTAACTGGAAATTAGAAAGAATTGTTTTCAATTGAAAATGAAAATTTTAGCATTTTTTTCTGCAGCCAAATTATACTTTTGCTTTATAGTTTCCTTGGTGTTATTGGTGGCTCATGCGGTGAGTTTATAACTGATATTATACTCCAAAATGATGTAATAATTATTTATTTAAAACTTTATATATACATAATATATGTGCCCATCTAATTAACTTACAGCAATGTGATTCATTTTGCAAATTTTCAAATGTAATGTGTCACTCTTACGACAAGTCGAAGCTAGTCTTCAAAGCCTGCTTTTTGAAGGCGGTGCGTGGTGAGGACGGTTACATGAACGTGCATGCGCATCTCAAGGAGGCGGCTCGGGAAGCGAATGTGAGTAGCAGTGGGGTAAATTTAAAACTAACAAATGTTTGTGTCAATATAAAAAATTCAATTTCTTCAATATACTTGATTTTATCTCACATTATAAAAACTATATACAACTATAAATATTTTAAAATGTTCCACTTTAATACGAATATTAATAATACTTTTTTAAGATTTCCATTCGCCTGCTAAAACGTGCCAACGGTTGGAAACCTTTCCTTTATAAAGTCTTCTTTGACGGTTGTAAATTTATGAAAAATCCGCGAGCGAATCCTGTAGCCGAATTCTTCTATAACCTAATTAAGGAGTACAGTAATATTAACCACACCTGTCCGTATGATGTAAGTTCTAAAAAACTATCAACAAAAATTAACAAAAATGCAGTCATCAAAACTAGTTCAAAAATGAAATTATTATCATTCAAAAATATAAATTTTTAAATGCTTTTTCGGAAATAATTATTTAAAATAGTTTTTTACTTAATTATTAAATTTTTTTTATATAAAAACTGTTGTTTTTCACTAAATGATATTAATTTTTTTGGTTTTTTTTATTGATATTTTCTACTATTTTTTAAAACTTCGAAATTTTTTTCAGCACGATTTAATATTGGATCATTTTCATCTCAACAGCGATTTAGTGAAATTGCCATTCCCTATTGGTGAGTATGCCGTAGATACAACTTGGTATGTTAACGGTCAATTGTGGGCTCGCGTAAATGGTTCCTGCGTTGGTGCGGTCGATATGTAATAAATTAATTAAGACTATTTGGAGAAATATTTTTATGGTTGAAAACAAAGTTTAAATTATGGTATGGAGTGGTTTGCAACTCGCTCGTATTTATGTTTGAAGAAATTAAGGTGCGTAATTCCTTAAAAATAAAACCCAAATAGAAAAAAAAAATATTATATTATATTCTTTATTTACAAGCCATTTGAAGTTGACATGTCAGAGTATTTTTTAATATGACAAAATTTAGTATCGCGCAGTTATTAGTTTCTTTGTTTTGAAATGTTTAAAAGCAAAGGAAATTTATGAACAATTGTTAGAAGTGTATAAGGAGTTCTCACCTTCAAAACGCACCGTTGAATTTTGGGCTGGTGAATTTAGACGTGGTCGCTTGAAGACAATCCACGCGAAGCACGACCAAAAACCGCAACCGCTCCAGAAAGAATTCAGCCAGTTCATAATATTGTTAGTAAAGATCCAAGTTTAACTAAGCGTGAAATTGCTAATAGGCATTAATCCGAAAACAAATGTCTCATCATAATTTGGGACGTTTTAAGGAAAATTATAAAACTGTGAATATTATTGCAGCCTTTTGGATCAGCTGGGTGAAAAAATTCGTGAGAAAAGACCTGGCGCAAAAAAATCATAATTCATCAAGACAATCCACCTGCTCACAAAAGTGTTTTAATAATGACAAAATTCAAAAAATTAAAGTACGAATTGCTTGAGCATCCACCGTATTCACCAGATTTGGTTCCCAGCGACTACTACCTCTTCAGAAACCTGAAACAATTCCTTAGGGGAAAGCGTTTTTTGTCGAATGAAGAAGCTATTACAGCCGTAGACGGCATAAAATTATTGGACCTTCCAATGATAAGTGTATTTAAGTAAAGGGAGATTATATTGAACAAAGAAATATACTTCGTATCAAAAACAGTATTTTTTCATTTCGAGCGCAGAAACTTCACAACTAACCTGTACATCCTTATTATTTAGTATATTGTAAAGTGTATTTCCAGAAATGATAAAGAGATCGACAGAAAATCATATTGGCGTGATCTGATGATAATTAGTCTTTGGAGTATTTCTATTTAATTAAATAAAAAAGCAAACAGAGAGACAACTAACCTCAAATATTGATATATAGTAGATAGTTTAGTATCAAGAATCGGGCGTTTTTTTAGACGTTCATCGATGAAGCTCACTTTTGGTTGAATGGTTATGTTAATAAAAAAAGTGTCGCTTTTGGAGTGAAGATAATTTCGCTCACTTCGACTGAACAGTTCAACGTTAAAGTTGGACGACGTTTGGCTCCAACCTAGAAGATAGGTAACATTGATCTCGATATGAATACTACATATAAAATGAGTTAAGATCTTTGAGTATGCTGGTGAGCCGATACGAATAAATATTTATACGTGTTATATGTACAAAGCGCTACAGAGCTCGTATCTGGCAACACTATACATAATTTGAAAGGTCTTGACGTAACCTACAAAACAACGCTATGCATGATTAGTTTGGATATTGCGTTCAACAGCTATAGACGCGTAAATATGGAGTTCACTAACGCCGAAATTCGCGCTATTTTAAAGTTTTCCTTCGTTAAAGGCAAATCCGCTAGAGAAACGTTCCGTGAGATTAATGGTGTTTTTGGGGATGGTACTCTATCACTTCGAACCGCGGAGGAATGGTTTCGACGATTTAGAGCCGGTGAAAACGACACCATGGATAAGCCAGCCGGCGGAAGACCTGTGACGACAAATACCGATCAAATCATGGAATACATCGAGTTAGACCGGCATATGGCATCTCGTGACATCGCCCAGGAGATGGGAGTTAGTCACCAAACCATTTTGAACCATCTGCAGAAGGCTGGATACAAAAAAAAAGTTTGATGTTTGGGTGCCGCATAATTTGACGCAAAAAAAACCTTCTGGACCGAATCAACGCCTGCGATATGCTGCTGAAACGGAACGAACTCGTCCCATTCTTGAAGCGGATTTGACTGGCGACGAAAAATGGATCACATACGACAATATCAAGCGAAAACGGTCGTGGTCGAAGGCCGGTGAATCGTCCCAAACAGTGGCCAAGCCGGGATTGACGGCCAGGAAGGTTTTGCTGTGTGTTTGGTGGGATTGGAAGGGAATCATCCACTATGAGCTGCTCCCATATGGCCAGACGCTTAATTCTACCATCTACTGCGAACAACTGGACCGCTTGAAGCAGGCGATCGACCAGAAGCGTCCAGAATTGGCCAACAGGAAGGGTGTAGTGTTCCACCAGGACAACGCCAGACCACACACCTCGTTGATGACTCGTCAGAAGCTACGGGAGCTCGGATGGGAGGTTTTATCGCATCCACCATATAGCCCGTACGTAGCGCCAAGTGATTACCACCTGTTCCTGTTCATGGCGAATGCCCTTGGTGGTGTGAAGTTGAACTCAAAAGAGGCTTGTGAAAAGTGGCTGTCCGAATTCTTCGCAAATAAGGAGGGGGGCTTCTACGAGGAAGGTATTATGAAGTTGCCGTCTAGATGGAAACAGATCATCAAACAAAACGGCGCATATTTTAACTAAATCCGATCACTGTAACACTTTTTATAAAGCATTGAATGAAAACAAAAAAGCGGAGATATTTGACAACCTTATATATGACATTTTTTACCAAAGTTCTGAAACCGAATTATGAATATATGGTAATCTAATATTATTATATTCTGTATGTTTTTTAGAGTTTTTGTTGTATAGTTGCATGCCTTTACTTTTCATATGTTTACACAGTTAAGTATATGGTATACTTATATTCGCCTGTTCAAGCTACTCCGTTCCATTTCGTGCATCAAAGTAGTAAATTAAATTATTTGCATAATGAAGCGTTTTTGGAGCACCCTCTATAAACCCGCACTACATACTTGCCACCCACTTCCTAAGATATTTCGACAAAATTGCGTTCATTTCAGTTACCCTCGGACCCTCTTCATACAATGGTCTACGCCGCTACCCAATCGCTTCATTTTGCGTTAATTCGCCAATAATGGAGTTATTACAAACAACAAAAACAAATAATGTGTATTAAAGTGGGTATGTGTGTGCGTGTGTCTCATGTGAAAATTTGTAGCGACATTTGGTGCGTGGGCTCTTTGACTTCACATTGTTGGGCATTGTGTGACAAGTCATCGTAATTTCTTCAAAGGCCACATTGCGCCCGCTGAGTTATGAATGTTGTTGATGGCATATTTGTGTAATATTTTGCGGTTTTATTTTTTGGCAGTGGGTTCGCCGCGTTTGGCAGTTGTTCACTTTGATGTTGTGTTGACGTGTTTCTGTCAAACAATTCAAATTTGCTCGTTGATTTGCATTGAGTGAAATATGCCTCGTAATTTATTTTGTTGGAAGTTCTTCAAAAAAAAATTCGGTTGCCAAAATTGGAAAGTGAAACAACTTATATTCATAGTTATATTTTTGGTTCAGTGGTAAACTTCTACACCAAAGTATAATATCAATCACAGGTGGATTTCCTATAGCATAGAGTTTATAAAAAGCTGTTTATCTTGATTTGGAGCGGTCAGTTTGTATGACACACATATATGCTTTAGTGGTCCGATCTAAACATTTTATTCTGGGGTTGTAAAGTTGCTTTGGACAAAAATCAATGCCGAATTCCGTTTATTTCAAGAACAGTTCTGTAGGTTATAGTATTCTGCTGAGGTTTGCTGGTAAAACGTTTTTTAACTTAAAACATCACTAATCCTCCTTGCTGTGAGCATATTTTTAGGTTTCTTGCTGTAAAGGTCGGACATATACTCGTATAGTGGCCGTCAGCCTAACTTTTTTCCATTCATCCATTTCCCTTTTCCCTTGTTAAAGAAGGGTGGATCAGATGTGTAGATCTTTCCGAGTAAATAATCGTTATTTAAAGCAGTGATCAATAGCAGAAAATAACAGCTTCGGATACAATACTAATAACGGAATAACTACAAAATATTTTTTGCTGGGTAAAACGAAAAATATTGCAATTGACGAAACTAAAAGTACTGTTATTATAGAACAAAAGCCCAGTTAGGAGAGAATATGAAGGTATGGGTCTAGGGTATTCGCAGAAGATGATGCTTTAGATATAATTTGTCTTCACTTGAGCACGGAAAATACGCATGCCGAAAAATAATAATGTTATTAGAGGAAATATAATAAAAAAATACAAAAAAACTCAAATCTACATATTATAAAATTTTTAAAGCTAAGCGAATATCTTTTATAAAAATCTGAGAAAGCTGTATTATCCCGCTAAATATTTAAATATTTATCTTCCAACAATGTTTTGAATCAATTTGTTTCTAATATTATATTCCAAAAAAAAATCATATTTCACAATTATCCGGCATATGAACACCGCAGACGATGACCGGACTGCTGAGTCAGGTTTGGCTAGGGAATGGATCTGAGGGTGAAATAATGGCGTGTAGGTGGGTTCTACACCGCTGGGGTGGTTAACGCACTGTGGAGGGCAGGGCTGATCCGACTCGGATTCATGCTACCTAGTTGAGCTCCTGGGGACCGTAGAGGTTATTTGTAGCCCAAGAGCAGGTCTTAAGACGGCTCCATACATTGCATATATTGCTCCCAACCGAGGTGGAGTTCGGATGGAGCCTTTTAGCGCAAACACAAACGAATTAGGAGGATGCAAAGCAACTCTGTTGCTAGGAGTAGCAGATTAAATGCCTACTTATCCAGAATCGACTTCGACATATGTTCAAATATATATCCTGTAATGAGTCCTCGAATGACTATAACCACGTCTTTAAATGCCAAACGAATCCCACTCATCCAACACCCCCTTCCTTATGGGCCAACCTCGTCGAAAAAACACGTTTCCTGGGCCTGGTTAGATGATATCGAATGCAACCAATTTGAACCTTAACACCCAAGAGGGAATTAGATAGCAGCTACAACAACAACAACAACAACCAAAGTGCTGTTCTAGATACTGTTAAAGCCAAAAATATTAAAAAATCTAAAAACAAAATGATTTTTGATAAGCGCAAGATAGGACAGCGCGAGATAGCTGACATTCTAAAGATGTCAAAGGAACGCGTTAAATACATCGAATCTGGCTCAAAAGATTTTTCTCTGTTCTTAATTCTCAGGACAAT